TGTAGCAAAATTGGACATATTGCGCCAGTGTGCATGTCAAAACAAAACAAGAACAACAAACGTAATTCAGGTGATGAAAACAAGAAGAAAAATTACCGTCGTAAAAGTCACAACATTGGTACTGTTGAAACAATTAACAGTTTAACAGGTATTGTAAGAACTGAAAACAATAAGAATTACATTGACTTGGAAATTTGTAATAAAATTGTGTCTTTCCAAATGGATTCTGGTGCAACAGTTTCTCTAATAAATAAGCGAACATTCAAAACTCTAAATTGCCCAAAGTTGTGAAAATGTACAAAAACCTTATTTGGTTTTGGCAAAAATGAAATTCCAGTGCTTGGTGAACTTTGCGTAAATATCAAATGTGGCGGAAAAGAAAGGGAAGTGGTAATCGTTGTCGTGGATGTCGAAAACTGTAACAATTTATTCGGTTTCGATTTATTCAAAGAATTCGGGTTTGATATTCAGCAAATTTGTAACATTACTGAAAGTGAATCACACAGAATTAGCGAGCTGTGTAAGAAATATGGTGATATTTTTGAACCCGCTCTTGGCACAATAAAAAACTTTAAGGTCAGTATTTTTTTAAAGCCAAATACACATCCGAAATTTTACAAAAGCCGACAAATTCCATTTTCGCAAATGTCACTTTTCAAGAAAGAAGTCGATCGATTGACAAATGCGGGTATTTGGAAACCTGTGAAGTTTTCCCAATGGGTTTCGCCTATTGTACTAGCGCCAAAAGCTGATGGTTCCATAAGAATTTGTGGGGATTTTAAACAAGCAGTCAATGCGCAAATTGACATTGAACAATATCCTTTGCCCATACGCGTTGTCTTTTCCATAAAATTAATTGCGGTCAACATTTTACAAAAATCGACCTTAAGGACGCGTATTTACAAATGGAACTCGACGATGAAGCAAAAACAATAATGGTTGTCAACACTCCACTTAGGTTATTCCAATACCAACGTTTACCGTTTGGGATTGCAAGCGCTCCAGCTATATTCCAAAGATATCTTGAGCAGTTACTTCAAGGTGTAGAAGGTTGCGGAAATTATCTCGATGACATCATCATCTCCGCACCTACATTTCAACAACACATCAGCCGCCTAGAACAAGTCCTTCGTATTTTGCAACAAAATGGTATCAAGTGCAAGCAAGAAAAATGAAAAAAAAATCAAATATAAGAGTCGTGCTCTCGCATACGTACGTTGACGGTACAGAAAGGCCTATTGCTTTTGCATCTAAAACTCTCGACATTCATCAACGACGATATAGTCAGATAGAGAAGGAAGGGCTAGCTATCGTTTTTGGAGTCAAGCGTTTCCATCAATATTTATACGGAAGGAGATTCACCTTGGTTACTGACCACAAACCTCTTGTTAGCATTTTTAATCCAATTCATCAGTTGCCGTCGATGACGTCACATCGTTTACAGCGATGGGCTGTAAACGATACCGAACATTATGGCTTATCACTATGATGTTCGGTATCGTGAAACTGCTGAGCATGGAAATGCCGATGCTTTATCTCGTTTACCTGTTGGTGAAGATAAAACTTTTGATCATGAAGAATCCTATTTCAACATCAATGAACTTAACACACCTATCGACGCTGAAATAATTCGTCAGCATGCCAAAAATGACCCAATTCTTCGCCGAGTTTATTTTCTCGTTACAAACGGTTGGCCTGAAAAGCTAATGCCTCAAGATGCTGATCTTCGATCATTTTTCAATCATCGCTTTGCTTTAATACTAAACAACAATTTGCTTCGCCTCCAGACGGAGTATAACCGGGTTGTCATTCCAGCCTCCCTTAAGCAGAAAGTTCTTAAACTTCTTCATGATGGTCATTGGGGAATATCGAGAATGAAGCAGCTAGCTCGACAACATGTCTGGTGGACTAATATTGACAAAGACATCGCACAATTAACTGAAAATTGTGATGTGTGCAAAATTGCAAATCCTGGTCACGCACGTGAATACGTAAGCTGGCCTGAAGCTGATCGACCTTGGGAGAGAGTACATATCGACTTTGCTGGTCCATTTTGTAATTCAATGTGGCTAATTTGTGTCGACGCTTTCTCGCAATTTCCGTTCGTTGTACAACTATCTACAACAACAACGGTTGACACCATATCACCATTGTCTTCTATATTTTCTCTGGAAGGTATACCAGAAACCATTGTAAGTGGCAATGGTCCTCAAATAACAGCTGAAGCATTCAAACATTTTTGCTCAAAACTTGGCATCAAACATATAACAACAGCGCCGTTTCATCCAGCCTCAAACGGGTTAGCCGAACGATTCGTCAGATCTTTTTAAACTGCTGTTAAGAAAAATATTGACGATGGATTGTCTCTCAAATTCGCTGTATCAAAATACCTTGCAACATATCGTGCAATGCCGAATGCTGAAGGTAAATCACCTGCAGAACTTTTACATGGAAGGCCTGTTCGTACCCTGTTGACTCAACTGTTTGAATCGTCTAGGAAGCACCTTGAAGCTTCGAAACGGAAAATGAAATTCAGTCTAAAGCAACCTGTCTTCGCTCGAAACTACGCAAGAGGGGAAAAATGGATAAAAGGAGTTATTGTGAAACACCTTGGTGAAATGGTTTAAAGAGTGAACACATCTTTTGGTTACATCAAACGTCACGGTAATCAGCTTAAAACTAGAAGTAGCTCTGACCTCTCTTCACAACCAATTTTTGAATTCGCTCCAAATTTCATCAATGCCACACCGCCTTCATCTAGCCAATCAACATTAATGCCTAGTGAAGAACGTTCTACCGAAGTAGTTCAACTTCGAAAAAGTTGTCGTATTCGGAAGGATGTAAATCGATTTGAATCCGACGATTTCAGGAAAACTTAAACTTTGTCAAAAATTAAGGGCGGAGAGAGTGTTATAATCTAGTATGTTTTGCATTAGTTTAAGCAATCTTAAGTAATGAAATGTAAACAAAATTTAGTTAAATATAAACTGTCAATCGTGTCGGTTGTATTTACTTCATAATCTATGTGTGCCAGTGAGTTACCGTAATTTGTTTTCGGTGGTGGTTTTGTAATAATTACAATGTATACATTGTAATATTTATATTTTTTTTAGGTTTTTAGTATAATTGTTATAAATTGTATTGTAGATAATTAATTCCATATGATTATTACAAATACCTCTTATTGAAAAGAAAAAAATAAAAAAACATAACAAATTATTGTTTGTGATGTATTGTGTTTGTAGATAAAAAAATTTAAATAATATTTAGGTCGTGTGCGAGTTAGGCTAAATTGCGTTCTAAATGAGCGAAATTCTAAGTTGTGTCGATAATACAGTGATGTGTCGATACTTAGCATATTTTCCAGGCTAAGTCGAGACTAAATCGCCAGGGCTGCCATTTTATTATTTTCATAAGATAATATTTTTATATGTGAATTTAAATGAATATATTATATGAATATAGAAATTTTCAATAATAAATAATTTTATTAAAACGTTTTGTTTTATTTGTATTAAAAAAAATTAATCATCATTATTAGAAAAATTTTAACCGAAAAGTTAATCACTGCGTGCATATATTTTTCATTATTTAATGACCATTTACAATAAATTTTATAAATATCTGTAATTTTTAAAATTTTTTTTACATTTACTTAATATTATAAACATTTATTTGATAAAATTTTATTATAGTGGTTGTTTCCAAAAAAATAATTGAATTTCTTTCGTTGACTTGGCAATATTGTTTTGGTAATTTTTGACATTTGAATAATTTTGTTTGTGTTCAACATTGTTTGTAAACAATTTATATATTGTAAAGGTAAAACAACTTGATCCACTTTAGCAGCTGTTATGCCTAATGTCCCTCGACAATTAATGCACACAGATTGAGTAATTTAAAATTACTAACTTTTCTAGAAAGTTGTTTCTTTATTTATACAAAATTATATTACAACTAACTTAACTAATTTCCTATCAAGGTTGAAATAATATGTTGTCAGTTATCGCTATTTTTAGTGGATTGTATTATTTTTTAATTATATTTTATTGTTTTTTTGCAAAAAGGTTCAAAAAGGGATACAAGGACGGAAGTCCCGGCACTTGGGATTATTCCTTCTGTCTTTTTCACATATATTTTCATAATTGTAATTAGATACGGTGCCTTGTATTTATAATCAGTAATACAATTTATCTATACAAAAGTATTTAAGGAAATAATGGAATTTCCCTTTGGATACTTAAATGATCAACAATGTCCTTTACAAACAACATCCGGTTGACGGTAACATTAGGTTTAGATTATTTATCATTTGAAATAAGCAACATTAAAAGCCGTTTTTGTTGCTTTGTCTATTGGTTTGTAAGACAAACTTAAATTGATAAATATGTGGATCAAATCTACATAACACAGCCAAAGTTAAAAAGTGCATAGAAATGTAAACCTGTCTTTAATTGGGTAGTTCATTTCACTGAGCTACCGATAAATAATGTAGTACAAAAAGCTGAACATAAAAAAGATGTTTTTGACTTTGTTAAAGAAGCCAATCTTGGAAGTTTTGCAATGTGGTCACTTTGATTGTGTACGTCCTTACTATCATTTAATGCAAATGGCAAACTTATTGATACAAGATGTTACTGACAATAATGATATTCGTATGCTGTTGTCTTCATAACAAATACAATTTTTGACTTACCTTTTAATTCAGATCTTGTAATAATTGTAAACACGGTTTTAGTAATTCATTATTAAATAAAATAAAATTTCATTTATTCAACACAATTATTTTTTATTTATATAAATTTTTTATATA